CTGTTGGCCTTCCTTATTTGAGAAATCTCTGAGAGCAGAGAAACACTACAGTCCCATGAAGTAAAGTGATAGATATGTGCCAGTCCATTCCGTCACACCAGCTGACTCTGGTTAGGTCTGACCAGGCCCCATCTGTTTCTCTCTTCTAATGGTGCAGGAGAACCTAAACATTTACAAGACTTGGAATCCCCAGTTGCAAATATTTTCTGCCTTATCCCCCCATCCTTGACACTTTGATGTTACTGAGTATTTTTGTTGGAAGCTAAAGCCCCCTGTAGAGATGATGAAGGCATGGCAGGTAGTTATAAGGCAAGTCCTGGTGATTTGCCTTCTAAACCAGATTAGGAAAGTGGGGTGGGTGGTGGATTGCAGTGAGACTTCCAGCCTGCCTTTCAAATTCTCTCCCAGATACCCCACCAACTGAACAGTCATTGGCTTTATAAACTACTCTTCTACAACTGAAATTCTCTTTCAGTAAAGCCTATCAGTGAGCCACACCTCTCTGTTAACTGCTTTGTGTAATTATAGAATTGTCCTCAGATAATTAAGAGGGTAGAAGTATAGCTGAAGATGACCCTCCCCCTGCTCGTGAATGGCAATTTGAATTTTAAAAGGAAGATACCTGTTTTAGTTACCTATTGCCATGTTACATATCACCCTAAAACTTAGTGGCATAAAAAAGCAATTGTTTATATCTTGCAATTCTGTGGGTAGGCAATCTGGGTCATTCTTTGGCTAGTCCTTGGTAGGATCACTCCTGTGGTTACAGTCATTCGAGTTCAAAAGGACTAGGGGGTCCTAGATGGCCTTACTCACATATCTGAGAATGAGCCTGGCTGCTGACCATGTGGTCCTTCTCCACATGGCCTTGGGCATCCTCCAGCAGGCCAGACCCACACAGCAAGTGGTCCCAAAGTTCCAGGAAGCAAGAGTGGGCATGGCAAGGCTTCTTGAGACCTAAGCTCTGGAATTTACACAGTGTCACTTTCTCCACATTGTATTGGTCAAGACAAGTCACAAGGCAGCCAGATTCAAGGGATGGAGAAAAAGACTCATCACAATGCCCAAGCAAGAAAGGGGCTAATTGAGAGACATGTCAAGTTGGGGTAAGGGATTTGACCCAGAGAACTGCAGGAGGTCCCCTGGTGCTGGGAACAGAGGTGGGGAACATGGGAAGAGTCAGGAAAACCTTCTGCACAGAGTCTTAGGAATAGCTGGGGTGTGGCTGCAAGTTCACTGGACACCTCACACCTGGAGCATCTATTGAATACTTAACACCAACACAAGGAAAAACAGGTTTTTGTTTAGAAGGCTGTAAAGCTTAGATACTGCCCATTCTAGACCATCCTAGTCTCCCAACTGAAATAAGGATAATGCTGGGATGGTAAAGAGGGGGGAAAAAAGAGAGAACCTACTGTAACTAGGTGGGGGCGGGGAAGCCAAATTGATGTTATAAATTTCCCCCGGAAAATCCACATATTAACCTGTCCACTCACTGTCCCTTGAGTGTTGAGTGCGTCCACTTTCTTCCAAGTAGACATTCTCAAATCCCACTCCCTGGATAGTTCTAGTGGATCTTATGTCCTTATTTTTAGAGCAATACTGCCAATGCTTTGGGTCTGTCCTTTAAATTTTTTCTATAAGAATTTATAACTTTGTTCATGCTCTTTTATTTTTAAAGGTCACCTATTCATTGGTGTATCCTCCAAAGCTGATGAGTTTTCTTTGTTAAGAGATGGGTGGGCTTGGGATGCTTTGTCCAGCACAGTTGGGTCACATACTGGCAAAATGGGGCGGGGGTAGGGGGGGCAAGGGGGAGGCTACAATATGCACCATCTTTGTGCTTATATTGTGTGGGTATATGTTTGGTAATAAAACTAAAATTTAATAGTACAGCCATACGTTGTTTTATTGTGCTTCATAAATAATGCGTTTTTTACAAATTGAAGGTTTGTGACAACCCAGTGTTAAGCAAGTCTATCGATGCCATTTTTCCAACGGCATTTTCTCACTTTGTGTCTCTGTGTCACATTTTGGTAATTCTCGCAATATTTCAAACTTTTTCATTATTATATTTGTTATGGTGATCTGTGATCAGTGAATAAGACTAGCTGAAAGCTCAGATGATAGTTAGCATTTTTTAGCAACAAACTATTTTTTAATTAATTTATGTACATTGCTTTTGAGACATAATGCCAATGCACACTCAACAGACTACACTGTAGTGTAAACATAACTTTGGGATGCATTGAGAAACCAAAAAGTTCCTTTGACTCATTTTATTGCAATATTTGCTTCATAGTCATGGTCTGGATCTGAACCTGCACTATCTCTGAGGTCTGCCTGTGCTTTGCTTCATCCTATGGGGCTTCCTGGTAATAAAAAAAAAAAAAAAATTACTGTATATATAATAATAAATACTATGATAGCTACCTAAGTTTATTTTGTATTAAGAGGATCCTGTTTGTAAAGTCTTTAAAATTCTTCAACATCATCTCCTTGATACAGGAGGCCTATGTCCACAGTGTGCATCACTAAATCTCCCATGCCCAGCACAATCTGTACCATAGGATAGGACTCCAGTATGTACTACACTTTGTAAGTGAAAGACAACACTAATAATGATCATCCTCACTGGAAGAGGTGAGAGAATACCTGGAATCAGAGTCAAACTTGTTACATATAAGGAGTGATGCCTGATTCTTGGACCTGGACGCTAATCGGCCTGCTGCAGCCTGTCACAAATGGAGTAAGCACAGAGTATTTGTCCAGCACAGTTGGGTCACATACTGGCAAAATGGGGCGGGGGTGGGGGGGGCGAGGGGGAGGCCACAATATGCACCATTTTTGTGCTTATATTATGTGGGTATATGTTTGGTAATAAAACTAAAATTTAATAGTACAGCCATACGTTGTTTTATTGTGCTTCATAGATAATGTGTCAGAATTTTAAGATTACAAAGAATCTTAGCAGTCAACACATGGCTTTCCCCTTCCATGCAGCATTCCTCTTTAGAGTGTCATTGGAAAGGGTCACTCCCTGAACACTTATGAGAAAGGAAATCCTCTTCTTCTGCCATTGGATCCTTTTTAAAAAATCTACTTTATTCTTATCTTTCAAGTTGTAAAAATATTGAACAGAACTCTGCCTCCTGCAATTTCTTTTTTTTTTTTTTTTAAAGATTTTATTTATTTACTTATTAGAGAGCAAGCGAGAGAGAAACAGCATGAGAGAGGAGAGGGTCAGAGGGAGAAGCAGGCTCCCCGCTGAGCCAGGAGCCCGATGTGGGACTCGATCCCAGGACCCTGGGATCATGACCTGAGCCGAAGGCAGTCGCTCAACCGACTGAGCCACCCAGGCGCCCTGCCTCCTGCAATTTCTATCTCTGGGTGCTTGTTCTGTGTTTGGACAGACCAAACCCACACTCTCTTCCACGTAACGCTCATTCAAATAACTGAATCTCCGCCATTGCTGAATATATGACAAAAATTGGTTGTGTTTCATGATGCAAACCTAAAGGGAAAGTTATCTTGAATAATGAAATTACAATATGTAGAAAGTTTAAGGACTTGTACACCATCTCATGGTTTTGAAGTGTGTAAAGACCTTGAGAGTTGACAGATTAGTCAGGGATTTGTCAAGAGTACTAATTACAAACTTTGAAATCTTGGTCAGTGAAAGTTCATCATAGTGCATCTTGCAAATATGATCAAAGTCTTTTCACTACTGATTTTATGATGCTTAACCACAGTGTGTAAAGAATGAAGGTTTTCATTAGAAATTACTGATGTAATAGAGCACATTTAAAGGAAGATGTGTTGTTAGACTATTAAAATTCATGCTCTTCCCCTACCCTGCACCAGCCCCTGTTTTTGGGGCCCCCCCATTGTCTCTGAATACCTGAAATGGCATTTTGGTCTACTTTAAAGGAACTGTGCTCTTTACAGTTTTAGTGTAGCTCAGTAATGACCACCACCGTGAGGGCAGCAAAGGTGGGGCTGTTGTTAAGTGATGTTTTTAAGACCATAAAAATAAACCATGAAAACCTGGGGGCTAACTGTGATTTGGTGAGTGAAAGAAATTTATGGCTGGCTGAAAACTTGAAAAATAAAGTGTGCAGCTGGTTATGGGAAAGAAAAGCAGTCCCTCTGTCTTGTCCTTGTTGAGTTTTAGAAAAATCAATCTTTTTGGTAGCTTTTTTTCCCCTGGGAATTAAAAAAAAAATGCACTGGCACCTAAACCATGGAAAATGAAATTAAAATACACCCAATGCACCTCCTCCAAAATCACTAGCTTACGTTTCCCCCACCCTTCTGCTGAGATGTCTTATCTGTGCCTTCCAATGGTTATCAAAATACAGGAAGGTATCTGCCAGGTTCCTTGGTGTTCTCTTTAACTGCAGGTTGATTTCCTGTAGCAGCCGAGTGGAAGGTGCACAGAGATGCCAGTGCTTGGTCTCAGTATCCCCAGTCCCACTGTGCGTGCATTTCAGGAACCATGGCCTGCTGCCAGAGGTGGGAAGGCGCTAGTCTGGGGAGAACTGGGGCATGTCTCCAGTGGTTCACCTGTCTGATGCTCTTCCTGTTCAGTTACCTCTGTGAGCCAGAGGGTGGCACCCCAGGCACTCCAGAGGTGAAGAGGAGGAAAATGATGGGGACTGGAGACGGGAGGGCAGGGCTGGCAAGGGGAATGTTGATAAATTCTCACAGTCCTCGGTCTTGAGATTTCCATCTAATTTGGAGCCGGACCCAACGCTGTTTGGAAGAAATGGGCTTCTGCCAGACAGGTGTCACAGGTTTAGGCATTTCTAAGATGATAAGGTATGTGAAGGTTATTCAAGACCAACGGCCTCCACCCACCTGGGTCCCAGGGAAATCCAAAGGGAAACTAGTTTCCCCAGTGGCTACCTGTGGGGTACTTGGGAGTTGGCGCAAAGCCAATGGCGCCCCACGCTGTAAGTGAGCCAGCATCTGACCTGTCACTTTGTGTTGTTTTGCAGTTGCTGGATTTGTGCGACACGGTGAAGGATGATGCCCTGAGGGTGATCTCTGCCTTTAACATTCCACACACCTCCCTCCACGCACCAATCGCAGGAATCACCAATGCGCAGGCCGCCTGGGCCTTCTACCCAACACCGCTGCAACCCGAGCCCCGAGAAGGGGCGCGCTTTCAGCCGCCCAAGCTGGAAGCCAAGTTATAGCGGGCGTGGTGCGAAGGGTGGTGGCTCGCTCGCAGCTGCCACGACACTAGCTTCTCTGACGCCTGGAACTGGGGCCAAGGCCGGCCTGGCATGCGCTGGGCCTCGGCCCTCGGGGATTTGGGTCGCAGAGCAGGCAGGGTTCTCACCGAGGCTGGCGAGATGCGCGATGGGCTGTTTGGAAAGGGAGCCAGGCGGCAGCCCGGAACACAGGGCTTTATTATGTAACCCCGCCGGCCGGCAGCAACCTCTCCCAGCTTCCGCGCTGGATCTCCCTAGACACTGGACTCCCCTGCGAACGCGCCCCACACCCGGGTGCCACCAAAGGTCTCCGGAGGTCAGTGATGACTCAGATTTACAGTGATTTTGGAAAACGCATTGGCGCTGCGTGAAAAAAAAAAATCAAAGCATAAAAATCAAACACTCGCGGGCAAAGTTTCAGTTCAGCAAGCGATGCTTTTCCAGTGAATCAGAACCCCTTGGGGGTGTTAGAGGAAACGCACAGACTGGGAAAGGGGAGTGTGCGCCTGGTGTTTTGCTCTCGGCGGAGCACGAACTCCGGCTTGTCCTCCCAGGCAGGCGGCTTCCGGACCGTAAGACAAGGTGCAGAAAATACTTTTACTATATGAAATTGTAATCTGTTCTTTAGAGGAGCATAGATAACAAAGTTTAATAAAGACATTGATTGACGGGAAGGCGCTCGGGCTCCTTGCCGAGGATGGGAAGGCGGGCTAGGGCAGCACACCGCAGTAAGTTGATTTCCGAACTCCGAGAGACCACGCAGGCAACGCCTGTGGTCCCAGGCAAGGGCCGTAGAGTTCCCATCCCATTTCTCAGATCCCGATTGCCCCACTTCATTTTTGCACCTTTCTCTCAGCCCCAGCCATCCTCCTTACTCCCTCTCCACATCTCGTGGCAGAGGCAGGAGTGAGCATAGCTCTGCTCGCGTCCGCGAGGGCGACATCCAGGACCGGAGCAGAGACCTAACGCCCAACTGCCCTTTCCACACTGTCCCTTCTCTGGGCTGTGGCCCGGTATCCAGAGGACCTCCGGACCCTGCGGGAGAGGGCGGGCAGGGCTAAGGGTCACCCGCCGCGGAGAGCTCTGCGAAAGCTCCCCAGCACAGCCTGGGTTGCATGACTCCGAGCCGACCTCCTCCTTGTGCCCCCAAATAAGAGTGCTTAACCGGTTGCTTTCCCTGATGCCTTTGTTTTTTAAAGTGTTCACAGGGTCGCTAAAGCAGACGACGCGGGGGCGGCGGAGCTGCACAAGACCAGATGACAACCACTGGGGTTTTCTTCTGCGTGGTTCTTTTCCTGTCCCTGTCTGCATCGCCCAACCCCACGGAGAGCTCGGAGCACTCGGGCGGGTTTGGGGCTCCCAGCCGGCGCCGTTCTGTTCCCCCCCCCCCCCCCGGGTGCTAGGCCGGGCGGCTAAGGCTTGGAGTTCACCGGAGCCCACCTAAGGTCGAGGGCAACCGCTCCGAGACACCGTCAGGGTAGACATCCAGCCTCTGCGTCCACTTCGCCGCGTCCATGCCCTTGTCCTTTCCCTCCTGCAACGAAATCCCGGGGCAGAACCCGGCGTGCGTCCTTGAGTCGCCCCAGGAACCCCTGGCCTCCTACACCTCGCTCAGGACTCGCCAGAGGATGCGCTGAGGAATTGTTTAACCAGGGGCTGTGCTGTCTTCCCGACGTTCCATACCTGCTTATGCAGCATAAAACACTGATCGAGGTGGCCAACAGCGGGACAACGCCTCGCTGATTTGCTCCTCTGCAACTGAGGACCCTTCCTTCTTGGTTCCTGGGAGGGAGAGACTTTAGGGGATCCTTAACTTGGGTTTCTCTATTCCATCTAACCAGCTCTCCCCCGTGACAGGATGTTCCATCTCCCGACCGACCTTGCCCCCACTCCCGGCCGCGGCTGTCTCCTAGCCTGGGGAGCGCAGGAGGGGGTAAGGGTGGGGACTTAGGACCCACATTAGAACACATGAGGGTGCGGACCCAGAGGAGTACCAGTCCCTGGAGCAGGAGTGGGAGTGGGACCGCGGGCACCAAGGAGAAAGGGGGTGGGGGCGCGCAGGGAGAAGGGGTGGGGGGTACTTCGCTCCCCACACCACTCCCCTGCGCGCGCGCCTTCATTGGCCTCAGCGCGCCTCGCGGGCGGTTCTCTGAAAGCCTAACCAATCTCTAGGACCCCGACCCAGCGGATGTCTTCTCTCCTACCTGAAGGCCGAGATTCCTCTGGGTCTTTTTTTTTTTTTCTTTTTAAAAGGATTTTTTTTTTCGAGTTCTTTTTTCATTTCCCTATTTTACCTGCTCCGCGCGGTCCCTTCCTCCTTCGCACCCGGGCTGCAGAACAGACGCCTCCGGGGATCCACTTCTTGCCTTTTTCTCCACTCTCCCCACTAAGGGCTCTGCCTCCTACCGGAGGCTCGGCGTGGCAGAAAAGCTAGGTGCCCCTGCCAGGTGGCATGAGGAGGGCGCCTAAGACTACCGCGTGAGGCGAGGGCGAGGAAGAGGATGAGCAGCCCTGCACATCGGGGTCTCACCCAGTACCCCAGACTCTGGGAGAGAGGAGAGCTCCGACATTCGCTGCCCAACCTTGGACCCGGGCGTTCTTGAGGATCAACCCAGTCCCCACGCCTGCCCCAGAGCGGCTGAGAAATTCCCGAAGCCGATCAAGGGCTCAGGGGCGCCTCCTCAGGCTTTCCGCAGGCGGCGGCCGCTCGGCCTGGTTCAGTGTGCCCGGAGCGCCCCCTCTGTTCCAAGCGCACGCAGTGGCCCCCCGCTGGATGGGGGAGAGGCAAGGGTACACTTTGAGGCGGGGGAGAGGAGTGGGTGCGCACAAGCCACCAGCAGCCCTAGTCACTCCAGTAAACACGCTCAGCTGGGGCCGGGCCGGCAGCGCTCGCGGGGGAACCCGGCCGGGCCACCCCCGCCTTTACCTGTTCGAGCCTGAAAGCGCCAGCGGCTGAGGCTACGGCGCGGCAGGGCGGGGCGTGCTTGCCCGCGCGCCAGGGCGGGACTTAGAGGGGGCGGAGCTCGCGGTGATTGGGTGACGGCACTGGGCCGCCAGTCTGAGTTGAGCTGCAGGGCTGTGCAGGTTTCACTTCGCTCGGCGCAGCCTCCAGGTTTTGGTCTTGTGAAACCGCTCGGTCTTGCGTCGCCGCCGCCACCACTGCCACCGGATTCTCACAGTCACCCTGCGCGCCCCAGCCCAACTGCGGCCAGCATCGCCGCGGGCTGCTCGCTTCACCCCGCTCCCGCCGCCACCCCCTCGGCGCCCTTTCCCTGGCCCTCGTCCCCCCAATGTCTGACTCTGACTCTCGGACTGAGAAACGCAAGGTAAATACCTCCGAATCCCCGGGAGCGGGCCGGGTGCCGACGGAAGACAAGCGCCGGAGCCAGCTCGGCTCCACCTCCTGTTCCCTTCCCGAGCACGTGCAGGCAAGAGATGCACGTACCCGTCCCACTTGTCGCTGGGCGGGAGGCAGCGCTCAGGCGGGTCGGGTTCCCTCCCCCGCGCAAGTCCAGTTTGGTGAGGGGTCGTCCGTGCACAGGCTAACGGCACTTGGCCGACGTGCGGCTCGGCCCGGGATTCCGCGCGAAGGTGGAGAAGCTTCTCAGGGTCGGCTGGGAAAGGCAACGCGTGCTCCGCGCTGTCCCGGGAGTTGCGGCCCGGCTCCACGATACTGGGCTGCGCGGCCGGCCGGCAAGTCTCGCCGCCCTGTCCCGGAGACCCCCAAGTAGCGGCCGCGCGGTACTAGCTAGTCTGGCGGCTTGGCTTTTCTCGGGTGCTCGGGCCCGTTGCGGAACTGCGGTGGTTATTTGACGAGACTCGTTTTCCTTGTACCCATTCAGACCGAGGTTTAGGGCAGCTAATGCGTTCGCTCTCTCGGGCTGCGGGTGCGCTGCAGACGATACCAGCCGCACGATCCATAGACAGCGAGAGTCCGAGGGCCTCCTCCGACTGCCGGGGACACGCGGTGGACGAGCCTCGGGAAGCAGAACATGCTCCATCCGTGGGGCCGGACTGTCGTAGAGACTCGGGCACCCCGACTCCCTCTCAGTGCTGGCGGGCGGTGCGGTGCCCTCGGGGGCCTGTTACTCGGTGTTCGTGCTAGTAATGGAAGACCCGTCGGCCGCGGGGGACAGGGGTGTGGATGTGTTGGTTGTTTGCCGTGGTCACGGGTGCGCGCAGTTGTGCGTGCCCGTGGCCAGTGGTGGCCGCTTAGATTTGGAGCGTGCCCGCTGCGTACAGGGAGAAAAAAGGAGCAATCTGTGGAGGAAGGTGGGTGCTGCAGCTAAGGGAAGGGACGGCCTTTGGGGTCTTCAGCCCACCCGGCCTGGGCGGGGGTCGGCGGCCAGCAGCAAGGACCGGGGTCGGAGGACGGCCCTGCGGGTGCAGAGAGAGCGAGACTCCTGCTTTGTCTCCAGGTGACCGGCCACTTGGGGCGGTGGGAGCCGCCGAGGCTCGCGCGGCGTCCGGCGGGCACAGAGGCAGGGCGGGCTGGGGGAGCCGGGGCAGCTCGGGTCCGCGAGACTCCCACCACGGTCGCGGCTGGGGCCGCCTTCGGAGGCGAGTTTGTCAACAATCGCCTCGCCTTTGGCGGCCTGACCCGTAGGCGCCGCCCCCGCCGGCGGCGGCTATTGGCTGTGGCGCGGAGCGACCGCGCGAGGGCCAATTGGGAGCGCGGGC